TTTGGTTATTGAGAAAAAGTTGTTTGAAGATTTTGACATATTTCAACCCCTGTGACCTTGCAAGTTGGTCAAGGTCATTCATTTAAACAAACTTGGTAGCCCTTCATCCCAGCATGCTACAGGCCTAATAGCAGTACCCTGGGCCTTTTGGTTATTGAGAAGAAGTTGTTTGAAGATTTTAACATATTTGACCCCTGTGACCTTGAAAGTGGGTCAAGGTCATTCATTTGAACAAACTTTGTAGCCCTTCATCCCAGTATGCTACAGGCACAATAACAGTACCCTGGGCCTTTTGGGNTGAAGGTCATTCATTTGAACAAACTTTGTAGCTCTTTATCTCAGCTAGCTTCTGGCCAAATATCATCACCCTGAGCATATTGGTTATTCAGAAGAATTTGTTTAATGTTTTTTTTTAATACAATTGACCCCTGTGACCTTGAATATAATTGAAGGTCATTCATTTGAACAAACTTTGTAGCCCTTAACCCAAGCATGCTACTGGCCGCATATCAACTCCCTCGGCTTTTTGGTTATTGAGAAGAAGATGTTTAAAGTTTTTGACATATTTGACCCCTGTGACCTTAAAAATAGGTGAAGGTCATTAATTTTAACAAACTTTGTAGCCCTTCATCCATGTTTGCTTCTGGCCAAATATCAACACCCTAGCCCTTTGGGTTATTAAGAAGAAGTCGTTTAAAGTAAAATATTGACGCCGGACGCCGGACGCCGCGCCACGGCATTAGCTCACTTGGCACTTCGTGCCAGGTGAGCAAAAAATGAATAATTTTAAGATAATTATCGGGATTTCTTCATGTCTGACCAATGTTTTATCAAGGATTTCCCTCCTACAACGCATGCGCATAGCAGGCCATTTCATTGTAAACACAAGAGGCCCAATGGGCCTGCATCGCTCACCTGTTATTAATCTAACACTTGTAATCTTAAGATTTCATAAGAACCTATTAAAAGATTTAAACATATGACGCCTCTGACCTTGATTGTCGAACAAGGACATTAAGTTGAAAGTGGATCAAGGTCATTCATTTGAACTAACATGGTAATCCTTCATCCCAGCATGCTACAGGCCCAATTTCAGTA